GCTGTTGTTTTATAAATCGAGGCTCACTGTTTGGTCTCATGATTGCTATACCCTTATTTGAGAGACACAAATGTCACATTTTAAAATTGAAAATGTTAATTCCTTAAAAAAATGGAAATGTGAATGTGGGGCTTTGAACTTACACCAGCAGGCAATTCTTTATAACACAAGTAATCTGTAGATAAACTCCGTGACTGAACTATCTCCCCTTTCTTATTAGTGACAGTGATGAACATGATGAGACCCTGGAAGATAACAGAGGAAGTATTGTAATACCCATAAAATATGAAAGTGGATTAATATTCAAAAGGTATCTATATTTTTGTCTTTCTTCATTCACGTTTTCTGAATTAGTAGAAAGGAATCATATGCTGTATTTAAAGTAAAAACCAACACATATTAAAGAATGTTTTATTTAATGGAGCAGAAGCATTTACACCAGTTTTATGCACTTTAATATAATATGTCAATTTTAATCTAAGTGACTTGTTTTAGGATGCCTATAGATTAAGCCACTTTTTAAATACAAGTTTATAGGCAAAACTAGTTTATAGGGGCTGCTCTAAAGTCAAATAAAATATTCTTAGCACTGCGAATATATTTTAGGACTACTGTGACTCCAAATATTAGCTTAACTATTTTGTTAAATGTTCTAGGACTATAAACTTGGAATAGACCCCAAATTTTCTGTTTTATATGTCTACATTCTTGCTGTGTTTGCACTATATAATATTTGTATGACAAGCCTATAACTTAATCCAAATAAAGAACAGAGTAGAGCAAACCTGATCAAATACTTATGCCTACTGGCAATACAGTGTTTCTCTTTTCTTAAACCTGTAGAAACTATGATGTTATACAATACTAGTGATAGATACAGAACAAAACCTACATGCTCAGTATGGATCTACCCATACGCAATGTGTATTTCCAGGGATTTCCTTGACTTTTGTAGTGTATTACTACAAGATCAGTCTGCACGCTTATCAGAAATGAGGCGCCATGCAGATACCTCTAGGTCCTTAAACTATTTTCTACAGATTTACCCAGACAAAAATCCTACTAAATTCTGTTCGTAATCCTACCAAAAGTATTCATTCAATAAGTAGGATATACCAATGTGTTGATTTATCATCCAATAATATATTGTATAAGTCTACTATAGTTGGGACTAGCCATCAGAATGCCAATCTAGATATGTTAATTGTGTGATTAAAACTCAGATAGAACACATATTTCATTTTTACTTGTTTCACTATTGCATAAGGTTTCTTAACATCATATCCCATCTACAGTCTACAATATGAGTGTAAATCTTAAACATTTATTAGGATTATTGAATATTTCATAAGCACTCAATAGCCAAATAAGTCATTATTGTTTTGTTTTAAGGGATCCAAATTCATATCACATCATCATTGCTGCCAATGAACACACTCCAGAAGTGTTTAATTCTACAGAAAGCATTGGAGATGAAATTAACTTAAACTATATGGTAAGGGAAAGCATGCAGTCTTGTCTGTTTGCTGTCTTTTGATATAATGTAATTCAATAATTGAAATTTTAACAGTGTCATTTTGAATTCTGTTACCATGCCACTGCTCTACATCCAACATTACATGCATGAATGAATGAATGAATTGACCTTTTGTGTTTTCCCTTGTGTAAGACCTTACACACCCATATCTTCAGAGGAGAAGCAGAACAATTGTTCTAGTGAAGACAAATCCATCAATAGACACACCCAAGTCTATTTCACTCAGTCTCACATTTTTGTCTTATAAAATCTTTTGGTAATGAAGACCTTTTCCCAAAGCAGGCTGTCTTGGAATTGGATTTGAAGTTCATAAACTCATGGCTCATCAGAGATCTTCCACAGAAATGGCTCTCATGGAGCATGGCTAGGAAGAACCCTCACTGTATTATCATGCTTGGTGGAATTTGTTTGTCTCAAAATTTCAGGACAACTTGTTAAAAATTTGTTGACCCTTCAGAATATTCCCCATGTACAGCATTAGAACAAGACCAGGGTTTGTGTGTGTGTGATTATGTGTGTGTGTGTGTGTGAAGATTTGTGCAAAATTAGTGTCTTTTTCCTTTATGAAACATCACAAAAAAGCACAGAATGCCTGTGCTTTTCATGCCTTATCAAATGCCTTATCAAAAATATAACAATAACCCATCTGCTGCTACTCATTTTGAAAAGTCTATTAAACAAGATAGTAGCAATAATAGTTTATTAATTTTTTACAAAATTAATTCTAGCAAATGCAGAAATTCTCTTGAACCATCAGGATGTTTCTCACAAGCAATGACAGAAAAAAATATCATTCTTATACAAAAGGAGAGAAGCAGAGATGTATACCCTAATACAAGCACTGTGACATTTGCTATTAAATAATATTTTTATATGAAAAAAGGAGCTAGGGAACACTACTTACCAAGAAATGTGCTTTTTTATTCTTGTCTTTAGATTGAAAGAATTGAAAAAATTGAATATTTGCCAATGCCAGAACTTACACTGCAAATCTCATTCCCCCACATGGATTCAGCAAAAAACCCTGTCCTTTACCTAACTAGGATATCATACTCAGAGGTAAGTTAGTTTTCTCTTTTTGAATATATCTGCATTCTAGCACTTCAAGATAAGCTTTCACTATTATTCTGTGGATGATAATGTCAAGATCCCTAGCCATTCTGATGCCATTCAAGTTATTGTCTTTTCAATTAATGTTTTCTGATCTTTTCTAATGTAAGCACACCATCCCCAGTTTTAAAAAAAAGATCATTATTAGCCAGTTTAACTTTGCTACAGATTGGATCCAGAATTTGTTTTCCATGGGCAAAAGGGTCTTCTATCTCCAGAAGGCTTTTTATCTAGCAGAAGATTGTTTATTCACTTCAATAATTTCTAATCTTCTTTCACCAAAAATAGCATTCATGGAGATATCCCAGTGGTAAATGCGATATTTTTATAAACCTCTCCCTTTCTCTGTAGCTGCTTATAAATTTCCTCCAGAAACCATGAAACCCATCTCTGCGGTTTCACTTATTCACCCCTGGCCATACAAAGGTATCACTAGGCATGTGCTAGGTCCTACAGGTCATTCTATGGTATTCTTCCCACAGGAGTTATCATAGAGTTGCATTGGAGGACCTTGCAAATTCTTAGAAAGGATAATTCAGGAATGTAATGGCATTCAATCATAACTTCAGTTTGTAGTCTGGCCAAGTACATAATAGATACATGGGTCTTATACTGTAATGGTGTAGGATCTGGAGGCTACAGTAGAAGGAAGAAGACATTGAAAATGTTCTTTCATGCTTCCTTCACATCTGCAAAGGTATAATAAGTGAATCTTCAGTTGAGGAATTCTTCTGTAATTCCAGCAAATAAAACTTCTGGAACAAATACTTTGTAGCTTTGTTGTTTCCCGGACCGAGCCAAATAGCATTGCTTAAATGTTTTTGTCAATCCTGACAAAATTAGAACTATTGGGACAATGCACTTTACACACAGACACACAC